GTCGGAAAGCTCCCGGGGTTTGGCCCAAAACCCGAAGGGCCGATCCCGCCGCCACGCCTTGCGCTCCTCCCGGAGGCGCGCCTGCGCGAGGGATAGGCCGGACATCCGGATTAATCACGTGCGCGAGAAAGGGATGGATGGATGGGCCGATAACCAAAATGAACCGTCGTCCCCCACCTCCCCCTTGTTGTGAATCAGGTCGTGAAACTTTGCAATAAAACGCAAGGGACGGGAACTGGGTCCTAGAAATAGTTAGTTAGTTAGTTAGTTATGAGAATACGGTGATAGAACCTAAACCTATAAGTCCGGGGAAGAGAAACCGATTTCGGTTGCATTAAATATAAGAAAAATACACATTTAACCCTTTTTTGAGAGGTAGAAAAGGGTTGAGAATAGGACCCCAGTCCATTCGATGTGGATATTTCTTCCTACGCGATAGCGCTATATTGCGTTAGACGAGTGCAAAAATAAAACGCTTTGACCCATCAGCACTCCTTGCACCTACAGTCGAATTCTACGGTAATAGCCCACCTTCTCCCCTGTTTTCCTTACACTACGTTGACCCGTAAAAGCGCTTTCCTTTGGATCACCATAAGAGACTCATCTGGACCGGCAAAAAAAAAAAAGAGAGACCCCCTGAGAAAAAGGCTTCCTAGCTCCCATTACCTTTTCACTACAGTATTAAAATGGATCCTTGTGGTGGGATCACCCGTACATAAGGATACGCGTGGGATCGACGTGAGATATCATCGACGTGTCGGTTCATCTTGAGCGCCCCCTCGACGTAAGCCCGGCATCCAACGTGAAGTTTCTGTTGGAGCAGTGTGAGTGGAAGGGTACTACACGTATTCAAGCAGCGCACCACGACAAGCTCCTCCTCCTCCTCCTCCTCCCCCTCGACCGCAGAGCGCGGGATCGCGGGCTTTGCCGAAGCGGCCCGACCTCCCTCGTCAGGCCGCGCGGAGGCGCCGTCGGGATCACCCCCTTCGGGGCGCCCTTCCGCATCCATCGCGGGCGTCGGCGAGAAGGGGGATTCGACGCCGAGAATAATCTGCAAAACCTGCGTGTAGCCCCCCTTATTGGCCTCGGCGCCGCCGATGGATTCGGGCAACACCCCGTACTGGATATGCCGCACGATGCCGAGCAGCACCACCTCGACGGCCATGCGGGAATGCACGGAAACTTGGCTCGCCGCGACGCCGGCCAAAGAAGAAAACCGCGGCGCGTCCAAATCGCCCTCGGCGACCTCGGGGCTCCCGCCGCGGCTGCCCGCCCCCATCGCCGCCTCGGCGCCGTACGGCGACGACTCCCCAACCGGGCCTTGAGCGGCGATGGGGGCCTTGTCATCGTCCGGTTCGGCCTTGGCCGCCTTCGCGCCGTCGGCCGCCACCGCCTCGCCGGAGGCGTTTGCCGTCCGAGAAGATGCCGCGCCGTTTTCCGTCGGGCCCTCGCCGCTCGGGGCGATGGCCTTGCCGTAGGAGACCTGATCGATCTCCCGGAGCGAGGCCCACTCCGCCTCGGTGAGGGCCTCGGTGCCGCCTTCGTCGGCGTGTGCGGTTTCGATGTGATGAAGCAGGGCATCCAGGAAGGAAAAGCGCGGCGTGGAGGGCCCCGCGTGATGCGCGCCCTCTTGGCGCTGGCAGAGCAGACAGACAAAGGGGCGGCTCGGCAAGAGCCGCTTCTGCACCGCCGCCGCGCTGTTGCCCTGCTCGAAGTCGATAAAAGGGTTGACGGGCTCCAACTCCGGCTCCAGCGCGGCCCCCGGCTTGCCCGCGGCGGCCTCGGTGCCCTCGGCGAAGGGGTTGGGGTAGTGCTTGCGGAGCTCTCGCATCGGGAGGACGCCGCGCGTCGCGGCGAGCGGCGCGGCCCCCGCCAAAAGGACCGGCGTCAGGCGCTTTTTCACGGCCGGCGCGGCCCCCGTCGGCGTCGCCCGGGCGGCCGGCTTCGACGCGTAGAGCGCGGCCAGCTCCGCCCGGCGGTCCGCCACCCCCTCCACCACCCCGGCCGCGGGGATAAACCCCTGCGACGCGGCGCCGGGCGAGGCCTTCGCCACGTCCGGCCGCGCGAACGCGACGGCGTCCCAGACCTCCACCAGCAGCCGCTCGACGAGGGCGTCCTCCGGCAGCGCGGGGCCGGCCCGGGGC